TGTCATCAACTTATCCTAGTACCTCAGTATTCATTCCTGTTACCTGCATATCTTAAAAGAAACAGCTGTTAATGCCTCTTTGTTTTCCATTGAGTGTACACTACTGAATAAGTGTAGGAGTTTATGTTTACCATGTAAGTTTTGCAACACTAAAAATATTTTGAATATCAGTCATGATGGCAATTTCTGTATAAAAGAGCCTTAAATGGAACATTGTTTTTGAGATCAAACTCCCTACCCTCACAAAAATGGCCACGTCGCAATAAAAATTGTGGCATATTACAGAACGTTGCCTTGTTTTCCTTGGACATTTTGCAAAATGTTATGTGAAGCAACTTTTAGAGTAAACAGCTATTACTAATCTTTGCACTGGTCATTTAAGAATTTTTTTGTACAACATTCATGCATGATATTTTCCAGTTTGTTGAGTTTAAAAAATATTCTATCCTAAAGCCAACAAATAGAAAATATTGTTACAGAGGGATACTTTTATAAACATTAGTTTATTTATTTCCTTATATGTTAATATGAAGATCAGAAGTTATTTTTTGCACTTTGACATAAATATTCTTCAATACCAGATTTGTTTTCTGGATAAATTAGGGTAGTTATTTTTTAATTCACGTTTACGTTTCTAAGTAACTGAGTAGTAGAAGCAGGAAGCTCTTAACTGCATATTTGGTCATGATGAAAGTAATTTATAAAATGTCCTTCAAAAGTTAATAATACTTCTTGTGTTTAGGACCTTTCATTTCAGCTATTATTTCTTAATACATCTTGCAAATTGGGGGGAAAAAATGATGTAGCAATCTTAAGTATTAGTAGTGAGATTTGGCTGTGGTCCAGACTGCTCTCCTTATAGAGAATTTGATCTGCTCAGTGTGAGCAGTTTGCTGTTAGCCAGAGCTATTTATGGCAAACACATGCTTTTGTATCTTGTCATAGTTATCCACAAATGGCAAAACTGGACTTGATTCTACTGGTATGCAAAACAGGCATGCTAGTAAGCAGTCAATCGTGGCTTAGAACTTAACCCCATAGCTCTGAAGAATGCTCTTATCAGAAAACAGGAAACAAAAATTCTTCCTTTTTTTTTTAACATGTGTTAGTAACTCGAGTACAATTAGGTATTTTTCCATATTACCAGAAGATTTTTAAAGGTGAAAACAAAAGTAGGACTTAAATGTTTAGGCTTCCATTTAAAATTATATGAATGGCTTGGGATCTTTTGCACTGAGCTATCTTATTTCAGGCTTCCAGCTGTCCCTTTGAGTTATCCTGGACATTTTGATGGTTTTTTGGTAAGGCTGAACTCATAAGGAAAGTATGAGAATACTGACATATACTGACCCGTATGTGTAACTGATTCTTAGAATTTTCATTATTTTCCTCATTCTTCTAGAAAAATAAGGGACTTTAAATAAGTTACGTAGTACTGTTTGTTTTTATAGCTGACTTACCAACTTTCTTATATGCCTCATATAGTAATAATTTCAGAGATTATTGCTTTAAACTGTGGTACTTTGATTTGTTAGACTGACAGAACTGAGTTCATCTTTGAAATACATCTTTGTGCATAGAGCCAAAAATAATGATAAAATTAATGGTTCACATGTTACTTGAGACTAATTTGGCATTTGAAATGATTTTATTTTACAATCATTTACAATGAAACAATGTTCCAGTTAGCTTTAAAAGGTATACGGTGCTAATTAGTAAAATATTGAGGGCAATATTTTACTGCTAGCTTGCAAAATTATAAGTGTTTAAAAAAATAAAATGTATGAAAATATATAAAGCTGTTGAGATGTGTTTACTTATACTTCAGAACACTAAAATTTTAAAAACTGATGTTGCAGATCAAAGAGGCACCTTTATCTTTTGTCTTTTTTTAGGGTTTTAGTTGATATACTTTCTCATTTACAGATACCAGTATTCTTTGAAAACTTAGTGTTACAGCAATTTTAACATTTTCGGACAAATGGGAACAGTTGGCATTTGTCCCAAACTGGCTGTCATCAGCTGTTGTTTTCAATCATTATCTAAAATGTGGCTTTTAGTAGATTGAAGGAAAAGCCTCTTACTATGTTTGAGTTTTTTTGATATAGATCCTTTATAGCAGCTAATTTATGGAATCTAGCAAGTGAGTTTTGGGAGAAAATTAAGTGCTTCCTTATTAAGGAATAATCTCAGCAATGGTCAATCATAGAAGGGTTGAGAACACCCTTCGTTAGGTTTTCCACTCTGAGAAAATAATCTGGTTCTGCTCTTCATAGGTCCTATTTTTGCTTGCAAATTTAATAATAGTTTGAGATCAAACAAACATGAATATTCATTTTTTGGTGAATATTAAAACAATCAGAGATGTGTAAGCAAGCTCCAACGAATATTGCTTTTCAGACAGTTTGAATTTGTAAATGCTCTGTCTCATCTCAGGCAATAAAGAGATCTGAGGCTTTTCTTTTGCTCTAGAATATCCAAATTGCTTTTTTCCTTTTACAGTTGGGGAGTCATCCCTCTACTTCAATTTCCTATCATAATGCAGTTGGGCAAATTAATCTTTCTGAGCCTCAGTTTCTTAATCATAACATGAGAATGACGATAATCTATCATACCTCATTGTAGAGGATCAAATATGGAAATGTTTTTGGAAAATGCTATTTAAACATAGTAATTTGGTTAAGTAGATAACCATGTTAAAAATAAGATTTATTGTAAGTCTTTGAACCTCTTCATTTTGTAACTATTCCACTTAATCTCATAGTTTAAGGATTAATTAGCTGATACGTAGCATCTGTTTTTCAGTGGTAAAGTGTAGCCTCTGAATTGATGTTTGTTGACTGCTATTAATCTTTTTAGTGTAGTTTTCTTTTTCACATGTAACCAATCAGTTACTAATTTTTTCCCCCAAATAATTGTGAAGTAGAAAATAAGAGAGGAAGTAAAGTTAGAAATACTGGTTTGGAATACTTGTCATAAATTCGTAAGCCATGTTGTTGAAAACCTGTGACTGTTTATTATTATCGTAAATTTATGTAGTCCTTTGTATTTCCCACAGCACTTGAAATTTATCTAATCACCTTAGGTCCTCTTAACCAGCTAACCATAGTTCCCTGCTACACATGAAGAAACTGAAGTCTGGAGAGGTTAAGGGACAGCAAATCTGATTCCAGTCCAGTATACTTTTCAGTCTGCATTTATGTAACATATAGTGAGTGACTAATTTTCTTTCTATTTTTTTTAAGATTTTATTTTTTTAAGTAATTTCTACCTGGAGCTTGAACCCATAGGCTTCAATCCCAACATGGGGCTTGAACCTCTAACCCGGAGATCAAGAGTCGCATGGTCTACTAACTGAGCCAACCAGGCACTCCACAAATTTTCAGGGAAAAAAGATTATCTGATTCTTTTGAGCAGGACATAATTATTCAGTATGTTTTCAAAGTAACGTCTCAATATTTGAAAAATAAGTCTTGGAATTTTTGTTTCCTAAGGAAACCTATGTTCATAAAATAAATAATTTCACACTTCAAAGATTTTCTTAGATGTTTCAG